TCTTTATCAGAGGTCCCTCTGCCAGGGGGAGGACCCCAGAGAAAAACAGAAAGAGGATGAGCCTGAGGAAGATAAAGCATTCCCAGGGCCTCCCCACTCCAGCGCCAGAGCAGGAAGAGGGAGGGCTATAACTACGCAGACCCTGGGAGGTCACTTAAAGGAGGGCTGTCCTAAAACCGGGAGCCTGTAGCAGAAAGTGAAACCTTCCTGCTCCAGACAAAGATCATAGTCGGGACTGGCCAGCCAAAGATGAAGCCTCAGTTCAGGTACTGCCTGCCTGACTCTCGCTGGGCCTCTCTGCTGCCCCTTCCTCCCTGCGGCCCTGCTGGGCCTCAACCTTGCCCCCGCCGCCACTCCGGCCCCAGCCTCCAACCCTGGGCTCCCTCCCTTCTGACTCCCCAGCCCCCGCCACTCCCAGCCAGGCCTTTGTTCCTGCTCTGTGGTCGCCCCACTGCTACTTCTGAATGGGCCGCTCCTCCACCTCGCTCCCAGCCAGGCCCCTACTGAGACTCTCCCCAGGTGTCATGGCAGGGGGTGGTGCTCCCTGCCCTGGAGGGTGCTCCTCTGTGTGCTTCCTGCCATTCCTGAACTCTGGAACTGGGAGAATTGAACCAAAGGATGATGGGAGCAATGTGGAATTTTGTTCACAGAGCTTCGATGGATTTTCTGTAAGATTTACTTTGCTTTAAATACCAAGTCTTAGGAGAGGGTGTGGGGAGGGAATGGTCTCTGAAGCACAAGATAAATCATGTCTTCCAAGGATGTTGCTCTGCATTGTGGGCAGAGGAGGATGCATGCAGATGACCCCAAACACACACTCTTCCCCACAATCAGCATTCACCATTTATAATGACACTAGTAACATGGAATATAGTGACCGGCACGTGTGTGGCTCAAGCCTGTCATCCCAGCACTTTGGGAAGCCGAGTCAGGTGGATCTCCTGAGGTCGGGAGTTCGAGACCAGCCTGACAAACATGGATAAACCCTGTCTCTACTAGAAATACATAATTAGCCAGGTGCGGTGGTGAATGCCTGTAATCCCAGCTACTCTGGAGGCTGAGACAGGAGAATCGCTTGAACCCAGGAGGCGGAGGTTGCAGTGAGCCGAGATCATGCCATTGCACTCCAGCCTGGGCAACAAGAGCGAAATTTAGTCTCAAAGAAAACAAAAACAAAAACAAAACAAAAACGTGGAATATATGGGGAAAAAGCCCCATGATCAGGAGAAATGCTTTTATTTTAAATTAGTAAGAAGAGTCTGTCCCCAATGACTCCTCCTGCAGGGCCAGTAAATGACAGAGACTGGACAGGGCTCGTCTGATAAGAGGCCCAGCCCCATCCATCCCCAGCTCTGTGGCCTGGGCAGGTTACCCCACCTCTGCGCCTGGCCCCTCCCTCTGTAAGATGGGAATGGCCCCTGCAGGCCTAGGGCAGCCTCACATGAGCTCACCCACGCAGCACTTGCAAGAGTGGCCTGGCCTCAGAATTCAGTTCTACCGTGGATTTCCAACAATAGTGGCATACTGAGGTGTGAAATGTCAGAAGGAATTGGCTGAAAGGTTAAAATCTATGATTTTTAAAAATATTATTATTATTATTATTATTATTTTTTTTTTTTTTTGAGACGGAGTCTTGTTTCTGTCGCGCAGGCTGAGTGTGCCAGATTCAGCTCACTGCAAGCTCCGCCTCCCGGTTCAGCCGCCATTCTCCTGCCTCAGCTCCGGAGTAGCTGGGAGCTACAGGCGCCCGCCACCCGCCTCTCGGCTAGTTTTTTGTATTTTTAGTAGAGACAGGGTTTCACCTTGTTAGCCAGGATGGCCTCGATCTCCTGACCTCGTGATCCGTCTGCCTCGGCCTCCCAAAGTGCTGGGATTACAGGCTTGAGCCACCGCTACCCGGCCTAAAATATTATTATTAAAAATTTTTTTCATCTTTTTTTTTTTTGATGGAGTTTCGCTCTTGTTGCCCAGGCTGGAGTGCAATGCGCCATCTCAGCTCACTACAACCTCTGCCTCCCAGGCTCAAGTGATTCTCCTGCCTCAGCCTCCTGAGTGGCTGATACATGTACCCGCCACCATGCTTGGCTAACTTTTGTGTTTTTAGTAGAGACTGGGTTTCACCATGTTGGTGAGACTGGTCTCAGACTCCTGACTAATGATCGCCCACCTCGCCTCCCAAAAAGGCTGGGATTACAGTTATGAGCCATAATGTCCAGCCAATAACTTTATTCTCTTTGCATTTTACTTCAATGCATTGGAGAGTGGGTGGGAGAAATACAGGGGGAATGTACCCCTGGAATGACCAGAGCTGGGCCCTGAGCGGGAAGAGGTCACCCGGTCCCGCTGCCCCCTGCCAGCACCCCCTTTCTGCTCTCTCCCCGGTCTTCCTGCCTGGGAAGGAAGCAGAAATTCTCAGGGCTGTGGAGAGATGGGGGAGGCCCAGAGCCGTCCAGGGAGCTGTGTTTAGCGGACATCAGCACGGGAGGGCTCCCTGGGAGCGCTCTCTGCATTGGCTGGTTTCTCTCTTGTGTCTTCAGAAACACAGTGAGCGAATGTAATGAGGCACATTCTTCTACAACTTTAATAACAGACCCATCCTTCTCGTCGGAATACTCCGTCTCCAGCTGTGCTACTTAAGTGAAAACAAGGGGCCCTCAATGCCCATACTTGGGGCGCAAAGATCTTGAGGCCAGGTACCACCTCGACTTCCAATCACTTTGCAGGCAGGGAGCAAGCCAGCTGGGAAGCACCACGCGCGATGAGGAAATGCCCGGCGGCGGGCTGTCCAGGGTGCCTCTTCTTCCCATTAATTTCCAAGTCTCGTGGCCCTGACCTTCCCGCTGGACTGTCCTGGGATCGGATGGTGGAGGGGGTTTGCCTCTGCACAAAAGGCTTTGTTTTTGTTTGTTTTTTTTTGAGACAGAGTTTCTTGTTGCTCTCAGGCTGGAGTGCAATGACGCAATCTCAGCTCACTGCAAACCTGACTCCCGGGTTCAAGCAATTCTGTCGCCTCAGACTCCTGAGTAGCTGGTATTACAGGTGCCCACCACCAGTGCGCGGGTAATTTTTTTTTTTTTTTTTTTCTGTATTATTAGTAGAGACCAGATTTTACCATGTTGGCCAGGTTGGTCTTGAACTCCAGACCTCAGGTGATCCACCTGCCTCAGCCTCCCAAAGTGTTGGGATTACAGGTGTGAGCCACAGTGCCGGCCTAATTTTAATATTTTATTTAATCCAATGTAGCTAACATTACTTCAACATTATTTAACATAAAATTCTTAACAAGCTAATGGTGCTTCTTTTCTTGTCATGCTGAGTCTTTGAAATGAGCCGTGTAAGCCGTAAGAAGCGGGGTGGCTGGCGCCTGTATCCCAGCACTTTCGGAGGCTGAGGCCGTGGATCACCAGAGGCCAGATGTTCAAAACCAGCATGGCCAACACGGTGAAATCTCATCTCTACTTAAAAATACAAACAAATTAGCCAAGGCAGGCAGTCGCCTGTAATCCCAGCTATTTGGGAGGCTGAGGCAGGAGAATCGCTTGAACCCATGAGGCAGAGGTTATGGTGAGTTGAAATTGCATCACTGCGCTTCAGCCTGGGCAACAAGAGTGAAACCATGTCTCAACAACAACAACAAAAAGAGAAATGAGCGGTGTATGATGTATTTTTCAGGTGCCCAGGTCTCTCATCAGAGTCCCATTTCAAGTGCTCAGTAACCTCTTGGCCAGTGCCCCCACCACATGGGAGAGCGTGTTCAGTGGCCTCTCCCAGCAGATGGCAGGGAGGGAACAAGGCCGACCCCAGAGGGCCAGGCCACAGCAGGGGCTGAGGATGCCTGGTGAATGGATGCCTGGGAGAATGGATGCCAGAATTCACGCACAAGGCCGTGAACAGGGCTGGGAAAACTTCCAAACGAAGGGAAGCACGTGTCTTGTGCACCTTTGTGTTGCTTCAACAGCAGGACTGAGATGATGGCCCACAATGAATAGAAATGTGCTGGCCTTTGCCTGGACGCTTGGGAAGTCCAGACTGTCAAGGCACTGCCAGCGACTTCAGGCCTGCTTAGCTGCACAGTCACCTGGGGGTGAAGGTGGTTGCCAGGGAAGCCTAGGGAATGCCCAGATAGAGTGGCCTGGGATGTCGGGTCACTGCTGCTCCATGCCACGGGACAAGAGGAAGCAGGAGCTAGTCTGACCCACTGCCTCTCCAGCTAGAGGGCAAGAGAGACAGAGTGGGGCTAAAGTCGCCCTTGTGAATAACTGGCTGGTGCAGTGGCACCACAAAGGTGCAGTCCCCACAGCCTCAGCAGTCGCTTTTGTAGGTGCTACACTTCTAAGGCCATTACCATGTTAAATTAACACTGAACATGAGCTTTGGAGCAGACAATCACCTCAAACCAAACAGGGATGGGAGGAAAGGAGCTTCAATGGCAAGATCCCCTGGACTTGGGTGCTGGCTCCCTCCCTCCCACTGCCCCCACCCTGCCCTCCCCTCCTGCTCCCTCTCATCCCGCCCCTGCTCCCTCTCCCAGGTGTATTTCCAGCCCCAGTACCACGAAATGTGCTTCCTCTCTTGGTTCTGTGGAAACTCAGCTGCCTGCTTACAAGCACTCCAGATCACCTGGTTTTGTATCCTGACCCCTGCCCGGACTGTGGGGAAGGTGACCGACTCCTAGCTGAGCCACCCCAATGTCACCCTGACCATCTCCGCCACTCGCCTCTACTACTACTGGGAAACAGATTTTCACGAGGGCGCCTGCAGGCTGCGCCAGGCAGGCCTACAAGATCATGGACGATGAAGTGGAGAGGAGGGGCCAGGGAGTGTGGAGCGGAGGAACAGCATGAGAGATGATGATCTGCAATGCCATGGCTGGGGCGTCCCAGGGCAGCCTGCAGGGTCAGGGTCAGTCACAACTGACAGCCAGAGACAAGGCCTGGGAGGGCAGGAGGGACCAGGGTCAGGGGAGGAAGCCTGACTGCTTCCCCCCGCCTTCATGTCAGAATTTGCATACTGCTGGGAAAACTTTGTGTACAATGAAGGTCACAGCCTATCATGCCTTGGGACAAATTCGATGGGACAATTATGCATCTCTGCACCTCAAGCTAAAGGAGATTCTCAGGTGAGGGTCTCCCTCTGGCCTCATGGTCTCTCCTCTACCTCCTGCTCATCCTCCTGAGGCCTCCCCGGCCAGGCCTCTCCTGTTTCCCTTCTGCCCCCTGCCTGCCCTCTATGGTCACACCTCACCCAACTCCTCGTGTTTCCTCCCACCTCCTGCCTCCCACTGCTTTCCTGTGCCCCTCCTGTGAGTGAGAGGCCCTTCTGCCTCCGCAGAGCGACTCCTCCATCCACCCCCGAGGCCGCCTCCCCACAGCCTGGGATCCCCAACCTGGCCTCTTCCATCTCCCCTGGCATGGGTTGTCATAACACTGACATAAGTGGGCGTGAATATTCATGTCTGACAGCCAGAAGCTTTGAGCAGCTATCCTTCAAGGCTGACCTGAGCCCCTGAGAAGGAGCCGCCACTGTGGAAACAGAGCTTCAGGCTCGGCGCGCAGAAGATGGCTCCGGGCCGGGCGCCTACAGGGTGGCATTATTTTCTCAGCAGATCTGGGAGGCTGCAAGTCCAGGGTGGAGGTGGGCGGGTTGCAACCTCTGCAGCCTCCTCCTCCTGGCCCTGTCCTCTGGCCGTTCTCTGTGCACCTGCAACTTGGGGTCTATCTGCCTCAAAATGTCCTCTCTCCTCCCTGTTTATGGTCCTCAGTCGCAGGATTAGGGCCCAATTCCTAAGGTTCATGAGTTAATTTAATCACCACTTTGGTGGACCTGTCTCCAAATACAGTTATCCTGTGAGGAGGTGGGATGAGGACTTCAAATATGAATAATGTTGGGAAGATACAATTTAGCCTATATTATTGAACACTCCAGGGGTTTGGGGTCAAGCTGGGTGGTGTGTGCAGGGATCCTGCCTGTGTGTCTGTCTCCAGGAGTCCTGTCCTGACCCTCACAGCATTCTCCCTCAGACCTTGCTGCACTGGGCCGCACCCATGGCTTCCCCACCCAACAGCACGCAGCCCGGCTCTTCTCACATCTATCTTCTCAACTCTGCCAGATGGAGATGAAAGAGCCAAACACCCAGTGATCAAGGTCCATGTGAATATAAATTCTCTTTTTTTTTTTTGAGACAGCCTCAGTCGCCCAGGCTGGAGTGCTGGGTGGCGATCTCACTCACTGCAACCTCTGCTTCCCCAGGTTCTAGCAATTTCTCTTGTCTCAACTTTCCCAGGTCACCACACTGGCTATTATTTGTATCTTTAGTAGATGGGATTTTGCAAATGTTGGCCAGGTGTTGAGTGAGATTTACAAAAGAGTAGCTTGATAATGGGAGGCTTGAGATGCCAGGAGCTTTCCAGGAAAGCACAATAGAAAAAGGCAACTAGGGACCAGAGAGGCCAGTGGAAAGAGATGATCTAAGGCCCTTGGGAGAGACGGGAACTAAGCACCTGGGTCTTAGACCGGAAGAGCAAACTGCCAGGACATGTGGCTAGGGAACACCAGGCTCTGCCTCTTTCATCACATATAGAAAGAGCTCAGCCAGCCAGGAAACAACTCTGGGCAGAGATGTGGCTGAGGGAGCTCAGTGTGGGAACACGCACACATCCTTGGGGGACATCTGAGGCCCCCACCAGCCATTCTCCCTCCAATGGCGGCCTCTGAGTGTGAGGGCATGGGGGGAGGCAGACACCTGCCCCTCACTCTCCTCCCTACCATAGCTGCCAGTGAGGGGCACCCCGGGAGTGATTCCTGAGGGCAAGATCCAGGGGAGTCCCTCTGAGGTCCTCCCATCCAGGTGAGGAAGGCAGCATGGAGTGAGGCTTGCACCTGGATGGGCCTGGGAGGTCATCACATGCGCAGGTGCCTCCCGGAACAAGGGCCCTGGAAGATAGAAATAGAAACCCAAGCCCAGGACTAACATCAGGGCCAGGACAGGGCCTGCCAAGGAGGCTGCACATGAAGCCTAGATCAGGGACCACTGTCCGTCTCACCTGGCCTCTTGCTGCCTCTTTTCTCGCATGGTGGCCCTGCTGGGCCTCAGCCCTGGCCTCCCCTGCCCCAGCCCCAGCCCTAGGCCTTCCCCCTGCCCTCTGCTTCCTCTTTTGCTCCCACTCCCAGCCATGCTATTTGCCCTGCTATGTGCCCACCCGCCTGCAGCTTCCTGAATGGGCTGCCTCCCACCTGCCCCAGCCCAGGCCCTGCCTGAGACTCTCCCCAGAAAATCACTACTGGCTGGTGCTCCCACCCTGGGAGGGTGCTCCTCTGTGTGTTTCCCACCATTCCTGAGCTCAGGAACTGGGAGAATTGAACCAAAGCATGATTGGAGCAATCCGCATTTTGCCTCTCAGTGCTTGATGGAATTTCTGTAAGATTTACTTTGTTTCAATACAAAGTCTTAGGAGAGGGTGTGGGGGTGGGAATGGTCTCCGACTGAAAATATGCTGGCTTCTTCCAAAGATGCCTCCAGTGTGAGCAGAGGAGGATGCATGACCCAGACACAGGCTCCTTCTCCGTAAGCACCACGCTTTTAGAATGACCCCTGTAACATGGAATGTAGGAAAAAATATGATGATCAGGAGTAATGCTCTTATTTTAAAGTTTAGTAAGAAGAGAACCTCGGTTCCCCGACAGCTCCTGCTACAGGGCCTGTGATGCAGAGGCTGACAGGGGCTGCCAGCGGAAAGGGGCCCCAGCTCCATCCATCCCCAGCTCTGTGGCCTGGGCAGGTTACCCTGCTCTGTGCCTCTGGCACTTCTGTAAATAGGATGGCCCCTGCAGGGCCTCAGGCATCGCAAGGCGAGCTCAGACATATGCAGCACTTACGAGAGTGGCCTGCTCATGCGGGTACAGTGGCTCACGCCTGTCATCCCAGAACTTTGGGAGGCTGAGGTGGGCAGATCACGAGGTCAGGAGTTCAAGACTCAGCCTACAATATGATGAAAACCGGGTCGCTACTAAACATGGTAGCTACAAAAACTAGTACTGGGGCACGGTGGCTCACGCCTCTAATCCCAGCACTTTGGGAGGCCGAGGTGGGCAGATCACAAGGTCAGCAGTTCAAGACCATCCTGGCTAACATGGTAAAACGCTGTCTCTACTAAAAATACAAAAAGTTAGCCGGACATGGTGGCACGTGCTGCCTGTAGTCCCAGCTACTTGGGAGGCTGAGGCAGGAGAATCGTTTGAAACCAGGAGGCAGAGGTTGCAGGAGCCGAGATTGCGCTACTCTTCTCCAGCCTGGTGAAAAGAGTGAGACCCTGCAAAATAAATAAATAAAAATACAAAAATCAGCCAGGCGTATGACACAAGCCTATAATCCCAGCTACTCAGGAGGCTGAGGCGGGAGAATCACTTCAACCCGGGAGGTGCAGGTTGCAGTGAGCCGAGATCGCGCCACTGCACTCCATCCTGGATGCCAGCGGGATTCCATCTCAAAAAAAAAAAAGAGAGTATTTGGTGTGATCCCAATGTAAAAATAATAATCATCATTGGACAGGTGAAATATGAGGAAGGAATTGAGCTGAAATGTTCAAGCAACTATTTGAGGTTGAAGAGCTTTATTCTGTTGCATTTTCCTAATGGGTTGGGAGAAGTGTGGCAGAAAAATGGAGAGGTTAAGGGTGTCCATTGGTAGCCCCAGAGCTGGGGTTCCAGCTGGGAGAGGTCACCCGGGCCCTTGCTGCTCCCTGCCATCATCCTCCTCTTCTCTGTCCCAGTCTTCCTGCCTGGGAAAGCAGCAGACATTTCCTAGGGTTGTGGAGGGATGGGGAGGCCCAGAGCCCAGGGCAGTCCAGGAGTGGTGTTCAGTAAGCATCAGCCCTCAGGACCTGGGGTTCTACTGAGTTTCTGTCTTGTGCCTTCAGAAACCCAATGGAGGCAATGTATCCACACATATTCTACTTCACTTTAAAAACTGCACGAAAGCCTATGGTCGGAACGAAAGCTGGCTGTGCTTCACCATGGAAATTATAAAGCAGTGTTCAACTGTCTCCTGGAAGAGGGGGCTGCCTCTCCGAAACCAGGCAGCACCAAAGTCCCAGTTACACTCCAAATAGAGCTTAAGTAGGCTGGGAACGCAGAAACCACAAGAAGTGACATGTCTTAATGGGCTCTGTGTGTACTTTCCTTTGGCATTTCTTTTTTTTCTTTCTTTTTCTTTTCTTTTTCTTTCTTTTTCTTTTCTTTTTTCTTTTTTCTTTTTTTTTTTTTTTTGAGACAGTCTCGCCAATTGCCCAGGCTGGAGTGCAATGGTGCGATCTTGCCTCACTGCAACCTCTGCCTCTTGTGTTCAAGCAGCTGCCTGCCTCAGCCTCTGAGTAGCTGGGATTACAGTGCCCGCCACCACACCCGGGCGACTTTATTCTATTTTTAGAAGAGATGGGGTTTCACCACGGTGGCCAGGCTGGTTTCAACTCCTGACCTCACGGATCCACCCCCTCGGCCTCCCAAAGTGCTGAGATTACAGGCATGAGCTACCGCGCCCAACCTCCTCCCACATTTTTAAGTCTCGTGGCCCAGATCTTCTCCCTGTCTCTCCTGGATTCTGGATGGTGGAGGGGGTTTGTCTCTTCCCAAAGTTAAGTTTTGCTTAGAGCCCAGCACTCCTCACTTTTGACTCCCTTTCCCAAAATCTGTCATGGAGCTGTGCGGCTCACAGTCCTCGGGAAACAGCAGCTGTGGGAAGCGGGGCTGTGGAAATCTGGCACTGTGTCTGGGCCAGTCACTGCTGGCCAGGCTGCCTCGCCTCTGCCCTGATTCCTGATGTCAAGGACATCATCACAGGATGGTGAACCCTTGCTCTCACCGTGCCGCCCACTACACAGGCCACTGACCTCCCACCCACCCTGTCATGTCCCACCCACCCCTGCAGCCCCCACTGCCCAGGCAGGAGACTTTTCAGAGTGTGTTCAGGGAGGGAGCCTGTGTTCTGGGCAGGCTCTGGCCTACTGGCAGTGCTACAAGCCTCGAAACCCCCAGGACTCAGGAGTGAAGCACAAGTGAAGTCCCCACACGCTAAAAAGGCGGCAAGAACTGGTGGAAGACATTTTAATGTCTACATTAGCTCAATTATCTCACATGCAATTTCAAATATTACTTAATATAAAATGCCTCATGAGAGAGTTAAAGTTTGTCTATATTCTCCAAATGAGATTTTGAAATGAACTGTGTATTGTTCACAGGCCAACGTTTCTAATCAGAGCCCCATTTCAAGTGCTCAGTAGCCCCTTTGCCAACCTTCAACTCCATGAGCAATGTTGTCCAGTGATCTGCGTAGCAGAAGGCAGACAGGGAACAAGGATCGACCCCATAGGGCCAGGCCACAGCAGGGGCTGAGGATGCCTGGTTAATGGATGCCTGGGGAACAGGATGCCAGAAATCACACGTGACCTGTGACTTATTCAGGAAAGACCCAATAAAATAAAGAAGGAAGGGGCTGAGGCTCACGCCTGTAATCCCAGCACTTTGGGAGGCTGAGGGGGCAGGATCATGAGGTTGGGACTTTGAGACCAGCCTGGCTAACACATGGTGAAACCCCACTCTACTAGAACACAAAATTAGCCAGGTGTGGGGGTGCGCCTGCAGTCCCAGCTACTCGGGACTGAGGAGAATTGCTTGAACCTGGGAGGCAGAGGTTGCAGTGAGCTGAGATCTTGCCACTGCACTCCAGCCTGGGTGACAGAGCAAGACTCCATCCTCAAAAAATAAAGAGGAAGGGACCTGGGTGCGGTGGCTCATGCCTGTAATCCCAGCACTTTGGGAGGCTGAGGCGCGGGCAGATCACGAGACTGGTGGAGATTGACACCATGCTCGATAAGTCAGTGAAACCCCGTCTCTACTAAAAATACAAAAATTAGTCGGGGCGAAGGTGGCGGGCGCCTGTAGTCCCAGCTACTTGGGAGGCTGAGGCAGGAGAATGGTATGAACTCGGAAGGAGCTTGCAGTGAGCGGAGATCACGCCACTGCACTCCAGCCTGGGCGACAGAGCAAGACTCCGTATCGGGAAAAAAAAAAAGAATAAAGAAAAAGGAAGGACAAGGATGGAAGAAGGGAAATTCTATGAATAAAAGCCCTAGGGCCTACTATGTACCCAGAAAATGAAAAGTAAAGAAAATAAGGCAGTGTCATGTGGTTTACGCTATAGTCCGAGCTTGGGAGGGTGGGAGGCAGGAGAGCGCCTGAGCCCAAGAGTTCGGGCATCAGCCTGGGCAACATGGTGAAATCTCTGTCTCTGCAAAATATAAAAAGATAGACATATGATGTGAACAAGATCTGCAGCAGTCTCCAGTTAATCAGGAGGCTGAGGTGGGCAGATTCTTTGAGTTTGGGAGGTGGGGCGCTAGCTAGTCTAGATTGCAGGCCTACTGTAATTTCTAGCCTGCAAGGAGAGAGACCCTGTCTCCGTGGGCAATGTAATAAGGAAATGCCCTGGGGCTCCAGGCCCGCTCTCTGCCCTATCGCCCACCCCTGCACTCCTCCTGCTCCTGGTCTGAGCCTCCCCTGCCCTCCTCCTCCTCCTTCCCCAGGCCGATCCTGAGAGCCGTTGTCATGCAGAAAGGTGCTTCTCTCCTGGTCTCATGAGGACATACTGTCTCCTAACACAGACTACCAGGTCACCTGTACACTCCTGAGCCCTTGCCTAGATTGTGCAGGGAGGGCTGAGTTCCTGGCCCGGCACAGTAATGTGAAGCTGCTCATCTATACCTCTCCGCCTAGCTACTTCTGGGCATACAGATTACTGGCAGGGGCTCCGCAGCCTGATGTGAGGAAGGGGCCTGGGAGATCATGGCTACGAAGGTGAGATGTGGGGACTGAGGAGAGTGGGTGCGGGAGGGACAGTGCATGAGGGGGCAGGTGGGGCTGCAAAATGCTGTGGGGCGGAGCAGTGTCCCCGGAAGCCTGCAGGGATGGGGCCAGCGCCCATCAGGTCCTCGTGGCAGCCAGGAAACCTGGCCTGGGAGGGTGACCAGGCCTGGAGAGAGGCCTGCTGGGTCCTCACTGCTTTCTCCTCGCTTTTTCTTAGATTTTAAATGTTGTTGGGAAAACTGTGTACAATGGTGATGCAGAGCTGCTCAAGCCTTGGAAGGGACTAAACAGCAATTTTCATTCCTGGACAGCAAGCTGCAGGAGATTCTCGAGTGAGGGGTCTCCCCAGGCCTCATGGTCTGTCTCCTCTAGCCTCCTGCCCAAAGCAAGTGCTGTACCCCCTCCACCCTGACCAGCTCTGTTTCGGCTGGTCACCCTGAGCCCCCTTCCTGCCCTCAGGGCCATTCCACAGTGCTCCCCTTTCTCACCACCTCCTCCCGCCTCTCCCAGGATCTTCCTTCAGAGGCCCCTTTCTGCCTCCATGGCTACCCATCCACCCACTAAGACTCCACAGTTTCTCGAGCCTGTGTGCCTCTAACCTGCTTCTCTTTTCCCATCTCCCTCATATAACTAACTTTTATTTTTTTGAGACGGAGTGGTCATTTCTTGCTCTAGACTGGAGTACAATAATGATGTTGGCTCACTGCAAACTCCGCCTACCAGGTTCAAGCGATTCTCCTGCCTCAACCTCCCGAATAGCTGGGATTACAGGATACCTGCCACCACGCCAGTGCCACCTTTTTTTTTTTTTTTTTTGTATTTTTAGTAGTAACTGGTTTCACCATGTTGGCCAGGTTGGTCTTGAACACCTCAGCCCCTGTGTGTGATCTGCTCATCTCGGCCTCCCAAGTGCTGGGATTACAGGCATAAGCAACCCCGCCCCGCTGCTATAAACAAATCTGTTAAACTCAACATAGGCTGGCTGCAGTGACTCACGCCTGTAACCCCTGCAGCACCTATGGGGAGGGTAGAGGGAGAATTGTTGAGACCAGGAGTCGAGACCAGCCTGGTCCACAGGACAAACCCCATCTCTACAAAAATAATAAATAAAGCAAATAAATAAATAGCCAGGTGGTTATGCACCTGTAGTTTAAGCGACTTGGGAGGCTGAAGTGGGAGGATTGCTTGAGCTGCCGGGAGGTGGGAGGCTACAGAACTGAGATTGCGCCACTGAACTCTGAAACTCTGCATGACAGATTGAGACTCCTGCCTGAAAATAAATCATAACAAACTCAACTAATGGGCGTGGAATATATGCAAATTGAATAATGAAGTTTTGAGAAACATCCTTTGTAAATTTCATCCTAAGTGAATTGGTCATTCATGTCCTACCCAGCTAAAAGCCTGAAAGAGGCCAGGAGCCAGGGAGGAAAAGCAGGTCAGGCCACGCCATTGCTCCCGAAATGGACTCTCTGCAAGCCTGACCTCTGAAACTGTGCTGTTGTACCCTGAAACCAGCTATCCACAGCTTCTATGATAAATGGCTGTAAGTCTGACCCTGCCCAAAAAGAGCACCAGCAAATGGAACCTCCCAGCTCCCAACCCTTCCTAGTGCCCACGGGCTTTCCCAAAGGGCAAGAGAACGTTTCTCCTTTTTTTTTTTTGAAATGGAGTATCGCCTTGTCGCCCAGGCTGAAGGGCAATGGACCAGTCTTGGCTCACTGCAACCTCCTCCTCCCTTGTTCAAGTGATTCTCCTGTTTCAACCTCCCGAGTAGCTGGGATTACAGGCGTGCACCACCATGCCAGGCTAATTTTTGTATTTTTCATAAAAACGGGTTTCATCTTGTTGCGCAGGCTGGTCTTATTTTTATTTTATTTTTTGAAACAGAGTCTTGCTCTGTTGTCCAGGCTGGGGTGCAGTGGTGTGATCTCAGCTCGCTATATCCTCTGTCACCCAGGTTCAAGCTATTCTCCTGCCTCAGCCTCCCAAGTAGCTGGGATTACATGCACGTGCCACCATGCCTGGCTAATTTTTGTGTTTTTAGTAGAGGTGTGGTTTCAGCATCTTGGCCAGGCTGGTCTTGAACTCCTGACCTCATGATCCAGCCTTCTGGGACACCCAAAGTGCTGGGATTACAGGCATGAGCCACCAGGCCCAGCTTAGGCTGGTCTTAAACTCCTGGCCTCAGGTGATCTGCCCACCTTGGCCTCCCAAATTGCTGCGATTGCTGGTGTGAGTCACAACACTTAGCCCATTTCTCCTTTTTATAAAACCTGTTGCCATCTCTGTTCTCCCGACAAGGTTGAACACCACCTGGACTGCGTGTATGTCCCAAATTACAGTTCTTTCTTTGCAAATGAAATGTGAGATTTAGAGACTCTTCTCCACACTTTAAATTTGACTTGACATTTTCAAGGCAGATGTAAGTTATTAGAGAATGAGACTCTATAAAAATGACCCCTTCGTGCTGTGGCCTCCATAGAAGATGCCCTGGGCCAGGTGTCCACACGGCAGGCATTTATTTTCTCGCAGATCTGGAGGCTGCAGGTCCAAGTTCGAGGGATGGGTGGGGTTGTTTGCTTGGAGGCCGCTCCTCCTGGCTGGCAGGGAGTCTTCCAGCTGTGTCCTCTGTGGCCTTTCTTCTATGCACCTGCACCTCTGGGATCTCTGCTTCCAAATATCAACTTTTTTTTCTTCTTTTTTTGAGACAGAATTTTGCTTTTGTTGTCCAGGCTGGAGTACAATGGCACAATCTCAGCTCATTGCAACCTCTGCCTTCCAAGTTCAAGTGATTCTCCTGCCTCAGTCTCCTGAGTAGCTGGGACTACAGGCTTGCGCCACCATGCCCAGCAAATTTTGTAATTTTAGTAGAGATGGAGTTTCTCCATGTTGTTCAGGCTGGTCTTGAACTCGTGAGCTCAGGTGATCCACCCTCCTCAGCCTCCCAAAGTGCTGGGATTACAGATATGAGCCACCATACACAACCTCTTTTTTTTTCTGAGATGGAGTTTCACTCTGTTGCCCAGGCTGGAGTGCCATGGCAGGATCACTGCTCACTGCAACGTCTGCCTCCTGGGTTCAAGCAATTCTCCTGCCTCAGCCTCCTGAGTAGCTGGGATTACAGATGCCCAGAACCACTCTCTGCTAATGTTTCTATTTTTTAGTTGAGATGAGGTTTCACTGAGGAAGGAGACCACCTCTCTCATTGTCTCCTGTTTCAGAAGGAAGCAAAAAGTTAGAAAGAAGCAGAAGTAAGATCAATGGCCAGACTGTTTGGCACTGCTACCTGGGCCTGGTAGTTAAAGATCAACTCCTGACCTGACCATATGAGGAAGCGTTGTGAAACTCTCTGTTCTGTTCTGCTAGCCCCCACTGCTGATGCATGTAGCCCCCAGTCACACAGCCCACACTTGCACAATCTATCACAACCTTTTCATGTGGACCCCTTAGAATTGTAAGCCATTAAAAGGGCCAGAGACTTCTTCAGGGAGCTTGGATCTTAAGATGCAAGTCTGTCGATGCTCCCAGCTGATTAAAGCCTCTTCCTTCCTAAAACCGGTGTCTGAGAGGTTTTGTCTGCATCCGTTCCTGCTACAGCACCATGTACACTTGAGGCCAGGCTGGTCTCAAATTCCTGACTGCCCACATTGGCCTCCCAAAGTGCTGGGATTAAAGGCATGAGCCATGACACCTGGTCAACCTCCTTTATGGACCCCAGCCAAGTTAACTTGTCTCCACACTACAAGTCTCATTTAAATTAATCATCTCAGCCGGGCCTGGTGGCTCACGCCTGTAATCCTAGCACTTTGGGAGGCTGAGGTGGGCAGATCACTTGAGGTCAGTGTCACGCACGTTCATGTGAAGAGACCACACGTTTTGTGTGAGCTACAAGGCTGTTTATTTCACCCGGGTGCAGGTGGGCTGAGTCCGAAAAAGGAGTCAGCAAAGGATGGTGGGATTATCATTAGTTCTTATAGGTTTGGGCTAGGTGTACAAAGTACATTCTTAAGGGTGGGGGAGAATATTACAAAGTACATTCTTAAGGGCGAGGGAGACTATATTGTATCAGTTAGGGTGGGGCAGGAACAAATCACAATGGTGGAATGTCATCAGTTAAAGCTATTTTCATTTCTTTTGTGGATCTTCAGTTGCTTCAGGCCATCTGGATGTAAACGTGCAGGTCACAGGAAATGGCTGAGCTTGGGCTCAGAGGCCTGACATTCCTGTCTACTTATGTTAATAAGAAAAACAAAACAAAATAGTGCTGCAGTGTTGGGGTGGTGAAAATTTTGGGGGGTGGTATGGAGAGATAATAGGTGATGTTTCTCAGGGCTGCTTTGAGCAGGATTAGGGCAGCGTGGGAACCTATGGTGGGAGAGATTAAGCTGAAGAAATATTTTGGGGTAAGGGGTGATATTGTGGGGTTGTTAGACAGAGCATTTGTTGTATAGAACTATTGATGATGGTCTGGATGTGGTTTTGTATGAATTGAGAAACTAAATGGAAGACACAAGGTCCGAATAAAATAAGGAGAAAAATAGTTGTTGTTGTTGTTGTTTTTTTTTTTTTTTTGAGACAGAGTCTCACTCTGTTGCCCAGGCTGGAGTGCAGTGGCACAATCTCGGCTTACTGCAATCTCCGCCTCCCTGGTCCAGGTAATTCTCCTGCCTCAGCCTCCCGAGTAGCTGGGACTACAAGCACCCGCCACCACGCCCGGCTAATTTTTTTGTATTTTTAGTAGAGACGGGGCATCTGCAGCACTGTAATATGTTCGTAATGGTCCCAATGCCTGTGCTGGAAGGTTGTGGGTGTATGGGAATGAGGGCAAGGAACACCTGGCCTGCCCAGGGCAGAAAACAGCTTAAAGGCATTCTTAAGCCACAAACAATGGCATGAGCGATCTGTGCCTTAAAGGCATATTCCTGCTGCAGTTAACTAGCCCAACCTATTTCTTTAATTCGGGCCATCCCTTCATTTCCCATAAGGGATACTTTTAGTTAATTTAATATCTATAGAAACAATGCTAATGACTGGTTTGCTATTAATAAATATGTGAGCAAATATCTGTTCAGGGCTCTCAGCTCTGAAGGCTGTGAGATCCCTGATTTCCCACTTCACACCTCTATATTTCTGTGTGTGTGTCTTTAATTCCTCTAGTGCCGCTGGGTTAGGGTCTCCCTGACTGAGCTGGTCTCAGCACCAAAGTGCTGGGATTAGAGGCATGGGCCACCGCACCTGGCCAGAAAAATAGGTATTAAAGTACTAGGAATTGGGACTACATCCAATTAGACAGTGTCCAAGGGGATTCAATGTAATTATTTGCTCGGTTGGTGAGTTTTGGGGCTCTATCTTTGAGTTTTTTTATGTTGT